GACACACAGGGTAAACAATCCCAGGAACGTGGACATTGCAAAAGTGAGACAACCTGTTACAGGTAGCATTGAAGAAACCAGTTTGTTTGGAAGCCCCTCAGGCCCAGCACCTCATATCCCAATGCTGCCTTTCTGGAAAGGGTCTCATGCTGGGCAAAACCCTAACCAAACACATGACAGAACAGCCTGTCAGTCTTTAGTACACAACTTGCAGTTATCATAATGTTTTTTGCAGCATCTAATAAGCTGTTTAAGCAGCCAGCATTTAGCTTGATTGTTCATCCCATGCTGTAGGAAGAAACCCTTAGAGTGCAATGGAGACATGATCCAGCACAGACTGAGCAGAGAAGCTGATGTCCAACAGTGGGTGACAGGTGGGTTCCTTGACAGACAATCACAGCTCTTGGTAGAAAAGGTATAGAGGAAGCAAACACGAACACAACCACCAATTTGAGTGGTGGCAAACAGAAATGAGCATACAGGTAATTCAGAACTAATTTTGCATCCTGCTAGAGAATTTGAAAGGAAATCTGAGACATAGAAGCCAATATGTATAGCTTATTGCATAGTTCTTATATAGTGGCAAGCAGCAGTTAGCTTACCATTCAAGTAAATGCAGATTCATCTGACAAGCTAACTAGACAAAAGCTAGAGACCAAGGTGAAAATTAGGTACCCACTACTGTTGAAAATCTTCCCAAAAGAAAAGGTTAGGTTTGGGGTTTTTTAATTGTTTAAAAATTTTTCTTTATTTCCACTTGTAGTGAAAAGCTCAAAGCAAAGCAAAGCCCTGGTCTCAGGTCTGACTGACACATGGAGGACAGCATAAAGACCATTTTCCCCTTCTTACAAACTTGCAAAAACACTAGGAAAGAGCTGGCTATGCTCCCATGCCAATCAGTAAGCAGTTGCTTACATACAGAATTTACAGAATTTACCTTAAAAGCCACTGATTGAACATGTCTCCCAACCCAACAGACACAAACCCCACAAAGCCACTCGGGACATCCCTGTCCTCCTTGTTGTTCTGTTTAAAACTCGTTGGAAAGCTGAATAAATCTGTATTTGTACTAAATCCAAGATGCTTTAAAGAACAAGCACCTCTCCTCACCAGCAGCTGGGCAGCTCCAGCACTGTCTGCAGGAAAGGCAGGTACTGCTCCCTCCTGCCCTCAGCAGCCACCTCTGTGACTACCTTGGCCTCTGCAGAAGAGCCACAGTGGTATCTACACATTTCCAGAAGCAAACATTAAGTACCACAGATTGACACATCTTCCAGGGACCACATCTCTCTCTCTTCATTTTCTGCCTCTAAAGAATAAAATACGTACTGTTAGGAAACTGCAGGGTGTTAGTGCTCTGCATTCTAGTGGGAGGACAGGGGTTTTAATGCCAAACAGCCATGTCCTTTTTGCTACAGAATCTGCTCTGCAGTATCAGCTACAGAACAAAGTAATTCTGTTAGCTGAAAGTAAGAGAGAAGATGGAATTATTCATTTTACAAAGGCTCCCACTTTGCTGTTGTGTCTAGAAATGCAGAGGTGAAAGTAGAAAGTAAAAGGTCTTTAAAACTGCTATTAAATTTATGACTATTAACAAGCTTTCACTAATTCTTGTGGGTTTTCAGCTGTAATGACTGCTAATTACTAATAAGCTGTTTAAACTATTAAATATAATTACCTTGTTCTGCGGTTATGTTTTCTTACACAGCAATAAAAGTACTGTAATCTCAGTTTACCAAAGTAGACCAGTTATATCTTTTGCAGTCCTGGTCTTGCAAATATGAGTTCAAATTTTATTCTAATATTTTTTTCAAATGGCATGAGTGCATTCACCACACTTACATGCCCAATGCTAATTGGTTTCTTTTCATCCTAAAGGAAGCAAAGACTAATGTAAATATTGATTAAATGGGCTATAATATAGTTTCTGTGCTTAAATAACCAAGAATAGGAGAATAGTAACAATCCTCTCGCACTGGCCAACAGTAGCACTCTGCTTGGGCTTTGCAACCCTGGTTGTGTTTTTGTTAGAATGTCCAGTCAATGCAAAGAAACAGCTCCTATTAGAAACTTGAAAAATTTTTGCTATCTAAAACCTCTGGTGTTTATTAA